TGTGAGTGAGCATTAGGCTTGTGACTGTGAGTGAGCATTACTGCCATTAGGCTTGTGACTGTGAGTGAGCATTAGGCTTGTGACTGTGAGTGAGCATTACTGCCATTAGGCTTGTGACTGTGAGTGAGCATTAGGCTTGTGACTGTGAGTGAGCATTACTGCCATTAGGCTTGTGACTGTGAGTGAGCATTAGGCTTGTGACTGTGAGTGAGCATTAGGTTTGTGACTGAGTGAGAATTAGGCTTGCGACTATGTGTGAGAATTAGGCTCGTGACTTGTGAGTGCGCATTATGCATGTGGCAATGAGATAGCGTTAAGCTTTTGACTGTGAGTGAACAGTTGACCTGTGACTGAGTGACCGCTTGCTAGTATGTCGCAGTTATTGGTCAGCAGTCTGTATATAACATAAATCATTGATGATCGCTTGCCTGCGATTCTGCAGCACTTTTTGCAACACACGCGTTTGTAATTGCGTTTGTAATTGCAATTAATTCAACTTTATTAGCATGTTCAGGGATTTTGTTTTTTCTTATGCTGACGGGCTGTTGTTGTTGCGCTCTGCATTCGCTTTCTGTGTATCTTATTAGCGCATGGACGAGGTCTGTTTTTCTTGCTACTGCTGTTTCTTGCTATATCAACTACGGGTGAAGGCAGTTGCTGCTGCTGCTGTTACTGCTGCTGCTGCTTCTACTACTACTGCTGCTACTGCTTCGCTACTGCTACTACTACTGCTACTACTGCTACTGCTACTGCTACCGCTACAGCTACCGCCACCGCCACAGCACTGCCACCACTGTTACTAATATAGGATAATACCGTATACTCTATATAGGATAAAAGCTAATGCAAGAACTGCAGTTTAGAGCAACCCCCTGGTGGTAGGTAACCTTCCTGAGTGTTAAGATAACACAGTGAAAGTAATGGTAGACGGCAGAGCGCAGTAATGAACAGTATTATAATGTCATTGCACGAGGACTATTATAAAAGTATAATTGACTGAATTCTGCACGATATAAAAATTCCCACAAAAGTGCGAGAGACGGGGTTACGCAACCCTGGCATCAGTCGACACCGACGTCACGGGGTCGGAGTTACCTGGCTGGCAGCGTGCCAAATAAGCAGCCAATGTTCGCAGTCCGAACTCCGACGAAAATACTCAACCAATCAAGCGGAGTTTTTCATTTAACTCCAAGGAAACGAATCATCAGCATTCTCGTTCGTTGTTCGCTGACACTCGACCTCCAGAGAACAGCAAAGAACTAAAACAAGTGTACCGGACACATTCGACGAAATCAACGCATCGATCATATCGAGGAAATACACGCAACGATTCACAGCAAGGAATTCAACACATCAATCAACAGCGAAGGAATCACCGTGTGGAGTGAAAGACAGACCGACGAACTCATTAATCTGAACATATTACATAATATACAATTATAGTTTATGACGATTGTACTATTGAATAAAGTTACCCGTTGTCTATATTCTGATGAAAGCTTGTTGAGTTTCACTCCGGCGTCTATCTAGCTACTGCATCGCCGCCCTGCCTCAATGTAGGAGCAAACAATGATCCCGCAACAAATAAATTACATTTGTTAAGCAAGTAAGACCTGTAAATCCAGTGGCGGCCACCCACTATGGCCACTACACTTGTTGTTGTTATTATTGTTGTTGTTGTTGTTGTTGCTGCTGCTGCTGTTGGTGATACTGTTTCTGCTACTGTCGTCGGCTCCGCCGCCGCCGCTGATGTTATTGCCACTGCCACTTCCGCTACTAGATTTTCCACGTTGATTATAATTTTGCGAAACAAATCGACTTTGTGAAATGTTTGCCGCGTAAAGCGATTTCATTTGTAACTGTTCCAATCTACTGAATCCTTTGTAGAAATCTTTGATTACTGCCTGGCACTGAATCCGTCGACGCGTGATTTTTCCCATCGCGTGCTGATAAAGAATTATTAAAAGTAGTAATTAAAACACAGGAAAGGTATTATTATATGCTTCGAGCGAATCCCTCATATACACACCTTCTTGGGGGAAACCTGGGATTACCCTACGCACGTACGTGACCACTTTACCAGTGTCTGTTTCCATGGTAACTCGCCGATTTTAGCCGGCTTATGTGTGTTTTATCGTTGCAGCGTGCGACCTGAATGTGCACAAGCGCTGTCGCTCCAATGTGCCCAACCTGTGCGGGTGTGACTACACGGAGAAACGTGGACGCATCAATGTGAAGATAAACAAGCAGAGCAACAAGCTAGTTGTCACAGGTAAGGATTCTCTCTCTCACTCCCTCCCTTCTTTCCTTCCATCCCTTTTCTCTCTCTCTCTCTCTATATATATATATATATAGTATATATATATATATATATTATCTGCTTCTCTCTCGAACGTTCTGTCTTTATACCCCGGCGAATCCATCTCTCTCTCCCATTTTCCTTCTCGTCCCTCTGTCTCTAGATCTGTCTCTCTCACATAATTTTCTGCCTCTCTCGAGTATTCCTTAGGTCATCCTCTATTCCCACTCATTCCCTCCCTCCCGTCGTCTCTCCATTACTCGTCGTCCCCACCCCCATCTCAACACGTGACTCCGCCACGGCTGCGTGTAGGCTTTGTGTCTCATAATCTCCAGCCGACGTCTGTCTGTCGCGTGAATGCTGCGGACACATTTTACACGATTTCTTGCGCCGAACACTTTTATCCTACAGCCAATTTGATGTAGCGCGCCCTCTGACGTTAATGTGCGTGAATGCGGATCGCGTTTTACAATGAAGCCGCCGTGCCGCTCGACAATGCTGCTACTAATCACGATGACCACACGCGAGCCGAGCACAGTTATGATATCGCACGCAAACGCGCTCTACCTCAGTCCGAATAGATAAAGTGTACATTGCATGGTTGCAGGTGTGTGTGTGTGTGTGTGTGTGTGTGTGTGTGTGCGTGTGCGCATGGCGAGAGGAACAATCTATTCGGGAACGTACATTTGCTAGCGCGCTTGATACGTTTAATCCGTCTGATACGACGGAACTTTTATGGGAAATTCGCGCGCTCGTGTCCGAGAGCTTTCGTACGTACGTGTATGTTTGCGCTCGTGCGTTCGTTTGTTCATAAGTGTGCGTGTGCGGTGCGTGCGTGCGTGTGCGTGCATGCCTGCGTTGGCGTGCTTGCTTATTCCAGGCTGCACCACCTCTTAGCGTCACACAGAGATGAGTTTAATTTAATTTAAATTTAAATTTCTTTTGTTTTTGTTTTAATTAACCGTATTAATAGCCGTTGCTGATAACGATAGATGACTGAGACGCGCACTAACCTAACAGACCTGAGTGCCGCGCCGTATATATATAGGTCAGTAAACGGTGAGACATAATACTTTCCATAGCCATCGCGAGCACGTGTGTAATACCGCAGAAATACATAATAATAAATACGCACTGTTAAGCTATTGTTCTAGTTTGGGGTACAGGCGAAGCTGTGTAAGGCGTGACCCTGGGCTAGCGAGCAGCCAAAAGCAACCAATTACAGGCGGTAGCTTGTAGCAGATTGCCGATAAACAATAGATAGACGGGTCTTCATTTTGGGTATATAATCTCTGGTTTGGAGAGAGAGCGAGGAAGAGTCAGAGAGTTAGAGATACAGACAGATACAGACAGATATAGACCGAGTAAGATACGGAGAACCATTAGCCTAGTAAGTTATGACCTGTCCCGCGTAAACCTAGTGTACGCGCATACCTTATTATGGAGTTATATATAGTACTTATAAAGAGAGTCACTTAATACGTATACCCGTGTTGTTGTGTTCTTTATATTGTGAGTGCGATAGACGTTAGCAAAGGGTGTTACATATACACTCACGCGTAACCACTAATACGATCACGGGTATAGCAGGCAGTATCCCTACACGTGTGAAGCCAGGCGACGTCGCATCACTAATGAGTATCGAAGGGCGCTGTCGCCTGTCATCGCGCCAGCGTCGCGTATCCAGGGGTGACGGGAAACATGTGCGATGCGGCTATCACCGCGATACTGACATGTTTTACATGGCTGTACGCAGCGCGCATGCGCAGCAGCTGCTCTGCTCGGTGGCTGCTGCACAGTGTGAACACTGAGACTAGGCCTAAAGTTACTTCTAGAGAGTTGCGTCAGGGGTAGTATTTCGTTTACAGATAGGTTTGATCTGGGTTTAGGGTTAAGTAGAGTTAGAGCTTAGTCTGTAACCCCATAGAGAACTATTACTATTAGCGCTCGCAGATTACCGCGCTGTTGCGGCACTTCACTGCAGGCAGATGGTAAAGCCTGTAACCACTTGGTTAGTTTCAGTCATAACGAGTAGAGTACCCCAAGAGCGGGAAAACCGCTGCACTTAGCTGTAGATCTAGGACTACCTAGTGACGGATTGTGACCAAGTGCTCAACATTCAGCTCGAGCATTTGCAGCACGGCTTGTCGGCAATAATAGGCGAATGAGAGTAGAGAAACATTAAGACTTTGGTAGTAAATATATTTCGTATTTATTTAGCATTATATTTTATTTAAACGCTCCAAGTGCCTGTGAGAGTGACTGCAAATACCGGGTACTGCAAATAAACATACTTTGGTAGTAAATAGATTTCGTGTTTATTTAGCATTATATTTTATTGAACGCCACGCTCCAAGTGCCTGTGGTCACTCCCCTATCGTTACACCGCATCGCTTCCCATTACACCCGACCACCTACGTTACGTTCACACATCCTACTAGCCATGGATGTTCATCGTTATCACATACACACTTACACCTATGGCTCGAAGGCCTACTCTTTGTAAAAAGCTCTCTCCTCGTTAAATTGCTTATAATTTTTTTAATGCGTCAAGAGACCTCTCCGCATTATTTTTTTTCGTTGTTCAGATTGCTCGGTAAGTGCTCTCTTGCACCTTGCGCGCAATGCATGCCACCTGGTTGCTAGCATGAGTCTTAATTTTGTTGTTTTTTAGATGAGAACAGGATGTAGGCGGTCGGTGGACGATACCTGCCAAGGGGGCGTAGAAACGTGTCGTTTCCAAGAAATCTTTTAAAAATGCATGAAGAGGATTGAGGGGAATCGATTCGTTCCACGGGGATTCGTTTCATTTCCTTATATTACGATAGATAGCGATCGTTAATTATGTAGCTATGTCGTCGTTGCCTTGGATTTTATTGTTTATTCACGGTGTGTGTTGCACATGGTATTATGCATGTATTGCAGTTAATGTAGTCTTTATTGCGCGATGGTCTTTTTTTACTTTGTTCTGATGTTGCATCTCCACTATGAGCTATCAGTCGGTGTTCTTATCTTTCATGTATGTTGCCAAATCGAACAATGAATTTGTTTTCCTGTTCAAGCACGTACAGTTATATTCCATAATACGGGCTATTACTCATGATTTTCACTGATAGAATTGAGTAGATAAGCAAAGATTATCTATTGCTATTATTATCTATGTGTAACGTATGACATGTATCGTTGGTATTTTTGTGTTGGGTGCTGGTTGTAGCATTAGGTGGAGGGAGCTTGATAATTGAGATTTTTGATGTAAAATCAGTGTTTACATTTTGCACGTGTTAAAGCTGGGTTTACACTATCGATTTTTGTCAGCAAATCGTGCCGATTTCAAGCGACTCCAACTCTGCCCCCGACTTGACCCAAATAGAAGTTGGTGTTGAGCTGTTGTTTACACTATCGATTTTTGTCAGCAAATCGTACC